ATGGTCGCGGCCCAAGTTGGAGGGGGACGCTGCAGGGTCCTGGGGCAGCTTTCTGAACCGCAGCTGCAAACCACATGCCTGAAGGCGCCCGGTAGCCCCCGTGGCTTGCATGCTCTCAGCTGCGGCTGAGCCCCACGGCAAGCCACCACTCTTGAGCCGCGGTGGGCTCCGGCAGTCGTGCCAACCTGGGTCTGCACATCCGCAGGCGGGAGCCTGAGCTGTGTCTCAGCTCCCCGGGCCTTTTCTGAGCGGCAACCAGGGGGGTGCACCGCAGGCCGTGCCGGCTCGGCCTATTTTAGAATCACCTTTTCCGTTAAAGATCAGTGAAAACTTACCCGGTGTAATCACGGGCCTATTGAGTGACACCGCACTGCGTACATTTAGAAACCGCTGTTTAAAGTTTTATCCCCATGTCAATTACAAGAAAGAGGATACTGATGGGAAGAAGAGATGCTCTGAGGGTTGCAGGATAAGGCCAGGGCTGAGCAGATGGAACGAGCTGCTATGCAGACCCGAGCCATGTCACGTCCTCCACCTCGGAGGTGTTAGTTGGTGCGATGGACTGGGGGCCACTTTCTAAGCCTGTTCTTGCCCACTCCTATGACAGGCTCGGTGGCGCAGCTAGGCCTGGAGTTTGGGGCCAAGGACCATGTTACCAGACACGGGGGAACGGGGCAAATGACCTGCAAAGAGTGGCAGGTGATGAGAGCCCTGGCTGAGAGGGACCACCAGCCTCAGGGGGACCCTGCCAAGGCCCCTCTTCTCCAGCAGACAAGCTAGGGACCCCCCACCCAACACACACTTTTGATGCACTGGTGGACAGGTTGTGCTCCTTTCTGCCAACGCCCCAGCCATCACCGGGAGCAAGAGCGGAAACGGGGGAGAGAGACACCTGCCAGGGGGTCTTCCATGGTTTCCACTAGTGGGGAGGGGAGAGGGCTGGGAAGCGGGGAAGCCAGCCGGACCTTCTTCCCGCTGCTGCAGACAAACAAGGCTCCAGCCACCCTGAGGGCTGAAGTTCTGGGACCGGGCTGCAAGGAGCCTTTGGCTGTGAGACCCACTCTCCCCGACTCAGGGCCCCCCGCTCCCAGAATTCCTAGCTGATGTCCAGTTGCGGCCCAACACTGCAGGGGGGGTCTGGGTTGGGGCCAGCTGCACTAGGCACTCTGGAAGGGGCTGGCAGAAGGGCCAACCTGTCCCGCTGTTTCCACGCTGGAGACCTGGACTGGCTTTGCAGTAGCGCCAAGACCATCCGCCAGTTCAATCCACGACCAGGAGCGCCCAAGCAGACCAAGCTGGAACTCGCCACCCACTTCAGGGCTGCCTCCCTCCACAGAATACTGGCGTCCCATGTCAAGGATGGGGAAGGGCTGGGGACGATAGGTACGGCTCCTGTCCTCTCTGGCCTTTGCCTTTGCTGGCTGGGGCTGATGGGAACCGCAGTTCAAGATCAACAACAGGGTCACCCATTTCCTGCTCCCAGGCTACATTCCTCCTCTGAACCAGCTCTATGAAAAAAAGCAAGCAAGCAAACAATGCAATGAGCTACCAGGGTACATGAAGGTTCACCTCAGACAGACTTTTGACAACGTTTGCACAAGGGAAAACGAGTCTTGCACAGCCGGGAAAAAGAAGCGCGCACGGTGACATGGTTGTATTGTCCCCTCTGTTTAAACAGGCTTGAGCAAGCTCACTCGAGGCAGCGGCCCCAAGAATCGGAGTCGGGCAGCCGAGAAGATTACGCGGGCTGCCTGGCCACCAGCCTGCCTTGCTGTCGCCGAGTTTATTTGCCCATGATTCAGACAACGCGGCGCGGCAGGCCTTTTGGAGTGTGTTTACTCCGGAAGATCAAAGAGGCAAGGGCAGCTGGGCCAAGAACCAAACCTGCCTCTGTTTATGTGGAGGAAGGCGATGTACCTCCAGAACACGGTGTGCTTCTATTACCTAATAACAATACGCAGGATTTAAACAGCCCCGTGCGAGCCTTCGCAGCGCAGAGGTGGGGCCACCATGTCTGCCCTGAGGCCTCCTCTCTGTGGATGGCCTGACACTCCCTGAGCCAAGGAGCACGAAGCAGGGGCTGAGGGGCAGGCGAGGGGCATTCCTGGGGCCTTGGGAGAGGAGACACCCAAGCCGCGAGTTGCAGGGAGGGCGGGCAGCGACAAGGGCAAGCTGGGCCAGATGCCAGGCGACAGAGCGCCTGCTTCAGGGGTTGAGCTCCTCGCGAGCAAGAGGCTGCCCCGAGTGACACATCCTCGCAGGCAAGTCCGATGGGCAAAGGCTGCCCCCAGATGGGATCGCAACACCTAGGCACAAAGGGGCTCTGCTTCTTGCCAAAGTGCTTCTGGAACTGTGTCTGCAGTCCAGGCGTGAGCGCCACGGCCTTCCCATCTCCAAAGCAGAACTGGACGCATCAGCTCCTGCCTCTTCTCTGTCAAACAGCAAGGGGGGGAGGGTCCCGCTAGGAAGCAAGGGGCCTGGCCCGTGCTGGGGGAGCCTGCTGGGGAGGGCAAGGGGGGCCAAAGGAGGGGCCTGATGCAGTCGGTCCAGGGAGGAGCTGCATCCCGCCCGCTGTGGCCAAGTCGCTTGCTCCATGCCTCTCGCCACTGGGAAAGGCACGGTGGACAGAGGACCACGACATCCTCCAGAAGGCACCCGCCCCACCTGAAGCCACTCCCCACCCAACTCCAGTGAGGTATGACCCTAACCATGGTCCACCCACCCAAACATCAGGCCCAGCCAACACTGCCACAAATCATACGCTGCGAAGAGTACTTTCGGATGCTAACAAGACACCATGGCTGGTCAACTGAGCCATCACACCCCGTTCGTGAAACATAAATATGCTTGCCGACAAAAGTGCGCCTTGCTCTTTGCGGGGCCGCCAGGCTTCCTCCAGGATCCCAGTAGCAGTTCCTTTAAATCTGGGGGCACAGTGCTCTATGGGGTTGGTGTCACATGGCGACGTGGAGTAGTTCCCCATTTGGCTTTCTGTCCCACACGCTGAAAAAAATGCCACTGGCCAGATCAGGGCAACCAAACTGCTGATTAGAAAAGGAATCTTTCCCTCCTTTAACGGAAAGGCAGGGGAAACAGCCACCTCGTCAGCAAAGATAAGTGAACGAAAAACACAAGCGCCGCCACCTGGTTTTGAAGGAATTTACCCTCCCACGGCTAGAGGAGGGAGGCGCCCTGCAAAGGGGACAGGACAGCAGGGTCCCCTAAGGGGTCCCGCCTTCATCAGGATGGGGGAGAAATAATGATAGGTGCCCATGCCCGCCGGGAATGCGGCTCAGCAGCTGCACACGGCTGCCAGCCCGTGCTGAGCCAGCCCCGCCGGCGCGTGCTGCGCATGTCCCCATGTGCACGAAGCCCCATCGCAAGTAAACACAGCTAACTTGAAGTGGAAACCCTGAGGCAGCCAGCACTGAGGATTTCGGGATTCAGCTCGAACCCACAGCCTGAGCGGTCCTGGTCACTCACGGTGCAATTTACACAGAGGCACCGCCGAGACACAGTTTTCCTTGCTCCTGGAGCAGATATACTTTGTTACATGCAAAGGCTAAAAACACATACATGCAATTACGTAAATGCTTCAAATGATAGGATATCTTTGGCGATCTCAACCACCAATTTGGCACCGCTGCCAGCCACTCTCAAGATGTTGGGGGGCTGGGAAAAAAAAGCCCCCGCGACGCTCCTCGCCAACCAGGGTGCCAACTCGACTGGTTTTAAAGTGGCTCAGATTTTCCCCCCTTGTTTGCCTCTTGATTGTTTTAATGTTCACCCTCAACCGTGGTATCTGAGCCAACTTAAAATTGCATATATTTAAATAAATTAGAGCCGAGCCAAAAGTACCCACAGCTTTTTGCAAATGCCGTCAAATACACTTCCTTTTCCTTGACGGTTTTTCAACACCACTTAAGGGGAAATGCCCAGCCTTCTGCCTGCATTGCCCTCCATGCCTCTCACTCCTTCTCTTGCCCGAGTGGCATTCTCTCCATGGCTGCAGGATCCCTGACTGGTCAGCACTGACCATGTCCGCAGAAAGCTGCCCCGATCCACTGAAGCACAGGCGCACCACAGGCTCCGGCCGAGCAGTACTCATGCAAACAGTATGGCCAGCAATTTCAGAGAGGAGGTTAGCATTTTTCTGCTCTGTTTTAATGGCTTTCACTGTTTCACGTGGTAGCATCTTACTCTTTTTATCACCTTTTATGAGTGGTTGTAAGCAACCCTGATGGCAATTTTTTATAAGAATGGGAGGTGCAAATCCAATAAACAAAAAAAATGAAACAGGGATGCAGAGATTCCCGATAGCCACAGGCTTTCAGTAGTTCTCCGCACGGGCCGAATTGTGCTCATCTTCGTCCAGATAGCGATCGGCTACTCTGCAGCACGCGTACCACCGTCCTGGTAACTGCACGCCACCTCCCGTATGTCCATGTGCCCCAGCTGGTGGGGATCATGGGCAGGAAACGGCTGCAGTGCTCCAGCCCTGTTTGCGGTATCCCCTGGGCAGCTCGTTGGCCCCTGTGTGAACAGAGCGCCAGACTCCTGGCCTGGCCCCGCAGAGTTTTTCTTGTGTTCCCAAGTTCTGCTGCCATCAGAACTGTTTCATTGCACAAACAGTGAAATATGTTTTTTGCTTGCTGCAAAAAAAAGGAGGAGTAATCAAACCTTATTGTTCCAGGCCAACTGCACTGCTGTTCCAGGCAGCTATCTTGAAGCTTCAATCACACAGAGGCCCACAAAATCCAAAAATATTTTCCAACCCATTTGTTTCTGGACTTCCGGGTAAGTACAGCCATGCTTTATCACTGCACTAATGCACGCACACACACACACGCGAATAAATCTTGTTAGAAAAACACACAGATCCATCTTCAGTGGCCTTCCTCTGACTTGACTTGCAAGACAAGCAGTTTCCAAGGACACCCACGTTGATTCCTCCCGTTGCCAGGTCAGATAAAAGCCTCGTGGTTTCTTACACAACTTACTTTGGCTTCGGTCTCCCCGCGGTGTAACGTGTACAAGTGGTGGACGGCACTTTGCGAAGACGACCAGGGGTGGGTCAGAATTTGGAAGACGTGAAAATCGTGGCCCAGTGTGTCGGCTGTGACCAGAAGCATACCTGGAAGAAAAGAGACGGGCAGACCGTGTGGGGAGAGAGACACACCAGAGAGTCACTGACATCGGTTTTACGACTTGTGGTCTGAACAAATAAAATTCTTTTGGATATGATCTGATTCCATGCCCAAGGAAACGGTTCGCAACCGAGACTTTCAGTCTATGCCTCTGAGTAAAATAGTTAATGGTCCTTCTGCACACTTAATTTTACTTCCGTTCTTCAGATACTAGGAAAAGCAGAATTTTCCATTGGCATCTCAGAGCAGAAGGGTTAGCCTTAGAATGAGATTGTCAGCTGGAGATGCGAGGGCCCCCCAAAAACGGGAAAATTCTGTGGAAAAAATGCCTTTGTCCATTTCTTCCCAAGGAAAAGCAGTTTCTGCTTTTTGAAAACTGAAGAACCCTTGAAGTATTTTCTTTCAGAATTCAAGACAGGAAGCTTATATATTGCCATTAAGCCTCTACACCCACCGCCCCCAGGTGCCCCCAACTTGTTTCTAAACACCGTGAAATAATCCTTTTATTTAAGGACTTGGGATATAAAACGTCCAGAAAGAATCAAGTCATGGGGGAAATGTTCTTTTAATCTTCCCTGTAAGATTCCCAGCACAGTTAGCAGTTCTCCTTATTAAAATTATTGCTCTAATATAGACTGTATCGACAGATATGCTTCAAGGCATGCAGAGTTTCTCAACATGCGTGCAGAATGACTGTATCAAAATATGGAAGGAAACTGGGGTTTAGCCCGTTTGGGTTTTGTGCTACAGAGCCCTGTGTTTCTGGGCTTGCTCTCCCTTGATGCCACAAGCAGTCAATTTTTCGATTCTAAAACCCACACGTGGGAAAACCCCTGTGTAAGTGATCCCGTCTTATCAGCAGATGCAACAACTCAGTGGCCTAGTTCCTGTGGCGAAGGCACGAGGCTACGTCTGGGGACGATGCCCGCCTTGCAAAATGAACAAAAAAATACGTTGATTAACAGGGACATTAATACAGGTCCCTAAGTGAAACGTGGCTGCTTACCTTTCCCAAGCTGCATCTTTCCCAGATAAATCAAATTTCAACAGCTTTTCCTTCAAATAAGGTTTCCCTAAGCTCTACCCTGCTCACAGGAACACGTTTAGGAGTTTCCGTAAACCTTCTTGCAAAGAGGAGCAGATGGTGCGGGCCATTCCTCCTTTGCGCCCGTCCTTCCTGCTTCTTCTGGCCTCTAGGTTGTTTTAGGGACCATTTGTTGATGTTCCCTTTACTCAGACATTAAACAGGAACCTAAAATATGCTCTGTGTATCTTGGTTTGTTCATGAAATTAGCATGTTTGGTATACTAAATTTAAAAGCACTGTTCATCTAGACAATAATTTAACTATACATTTGCTGAGTTTGTTTTGAAATGTTTTAGCTTAACAACAATTTTATGAGCAAACCGATACATAATATAACTTTATTTAGTTCATTCTTCTGCTGCCCAATAGCTGAGGCTCTCTGGGCTCTTAACAAAAGTTAAAACACACACACACACACAGGAAAATTAGCACAAAACGACAAAACCACGGCAGTTGCAACTGAAAGTGCAGAAGCATCGCAGTGGTACAGGGTAAAATGCAAAACAGAAAAGGGTTTTCACCTGGTGCAACGCTTTGCGGAGCTCCCTCCGCAGCGGGGGTGCCTCTACCCAAAGGTCCTCCTCCTGCTGGCCACCCACCTCAGTGCTCCCGGAGGGGGATCCCAGAGAAGGGGCCCTGAACGTCAGGATGAGCGCTTCGAATCAGGCCCGGACCTCAACCAGCCGCCCATGTAGCTGGAAGAGGGCGGGCAATGCGTGCTCGTGAGCAGGTCCTCGTGAACGGTCTTGTTTTGGTTCAGCTGAAGCTTCCGGGCCGTTTTCAAAGGCCACCCTGCATGCAGCGCTTTGCAGTCCTCCCAACGAGAGGGTGCCAGCACGTGGGTTGCTGTGGCCAGGCTTGCTTTGGGAACATACAAGCGGCTTGGTGCTCCTCGGGCTTCCGACCACAACCTGGTGCCTTCCAGGTATGTCAGAGTACAGCAGCCAGCACTCCTAGCCGATGCTCTGCTGCCTGAGGCCAAGGAGGGCTGAAGGCCGGGGCCTCTAGGGGGCACCAGCTTGGAGCTGGTTGTCCTGAAGCAACGGCATGACTTCAGCTCCGCGAAGGAATCATTGGACACTGTCTGAGGGGCCACGGGATGGGCCAAATTCCCAGCTCCAAGGCCAAAGACAGAGCTAGCAAATGGAGCGCTGACCACCCATCCCTGTGAAGCTCGCAAAGAACCAATCACACCGCCTACTCTGAGAGTAAGAAAAGGATCTTGGAGAGCAGGAAAGGGGGAGATCAGGGAGAGACCAGGAGACAGAGTATCCCAGAGCTGCACCAGCCCCTTCCCTCTGCCAGAAACATCACTGCTAGGCAGTCTAGTCAAGATACAGAAGAGGAGGACTGGGAGGGGAAGATGGCTCCACCATATCGCTGGCTCTGCATTCAATGTCCTTCAGCATTGGGATCCCAGTGCTCCCCACAACCACAAATAAGCATGGCTTATTTTTCAATTTATCCAAAAAAGTGCATCCCACCCCCCGAAAAGCTACTGGGAAAAAAAGCAAGGTCCCGCCCCCCCAACACACACAGAGCTTCAATACTTCCAGAAATTCCTCGTCTCAACCTTTAGCAGAGAAATGAGGTATTTCATGCCCACCACAACTGTCTTCTGTGAAATGCCACGAGATACACAATGGTTCAAGTAACACTTTTGCTCAGGAGCGCTGGATCTCGGCCAGTGGTCCAAATACATCCCACCTGGCATACCATCCGGCCCTCTAGGGTCCCCCGGCAGCCAGGTCCCTCCTTCTCCCATACGAGCAAGTCAACTGGAAATTGCCCAGCTTGCGTGCGGCATCTTCCCATCTGACAAGTTTCAATGCCTTTCCCAGGGCTTGGCTGCCGTCAGCTCGACCTGGAGCTGAAACGCGCTGGTGTTTTTGGTATTGTGGCCACACTCCTAGAATGCACCACTCAAGAGCACCCAGGAAGCGGCGTGCAGCCCTGGTGCTTCGACACCGCAGCTCCCGCTGCGAACTGGGCTGATCCTGATCATGCCTCTTGGAGGAAATTCCCACTGCATACGATGCAGCTCCCTCGCGAATAGGGGTACCTGGGCAGCAGCCTAAAATGACAGTCAGAACTGTAGGCGTACACGTAAAGCATGCGTTTTTCCTTTCAAAAGAGGGCATGATGCTGATTTCTAAGCCCTGTACAAAATTGTGCAATGTTCAAGCACACACTGGAGATAGCACTTCTTTTAGGGGCTTTGTCTGTTTCAAGGCAATGAGCACTGCAAAAGAAAGCAGCAAGCTTTTCAGATAATTCATCTGCTCAAGTTGTGTTGGGTTTGCACCAAAGCCAAGGCTGCCATTAGTCTTCTTTTCACTGTTCTCTTTGACTGGATTTAAGTCTCCTCCAAACACAAAATAATTACTGGGCAGAGGGTAAATGAGTTGTCGGCAACGTTTGGAAGGCACAAAATTGCTACTGACTTTGCCCAAGAAAGCCAGACTTAAATTGTTTGACTTTGGCATTCATAATCTCCCCTTCTTCTTCACCAAGCCCCAAAATTGTGACTTTCTCTACCTCCTCCTCTGGAAAACTGTTCTCAAGTGTAAGTGCATTGCAGCCAACCTCAGGAGTCCAGGGACCATTCTGTTGCCCAGATGCACGTCTCCACACTGTAGAAGCCTTTTGGGTTTTACAGGAACTTGGCCACCCCTTCAGTGCACGAACTTGCAATAAGCACTGATTTCCCTCCACCCCAAAACGAGTGTGTGGGTGTATCTGGAGACTGTGGTGCAACACATGTGGAGTTCTGTGTCTTCTACAAGAAAATAAAATGAATTCGGTGTTGCATCAGAAAAACTGTACATGTTACATTACATAAAAGGGCAACATTTCTCTAAGTAAAAGAGCCAGGGCGATGCGGTGGTGAAGAGCGTGGGGCTGGGACGGCGGAGACCCGGGTTCTAGTCCCTGCTTGGCCATGAAGCCGGCTGGGCGACTTTAGGCCAGACACAGATTCTCCACCCAGCCTACATAGTTGTTGTTGTGGGGATAAGACTGAGAGAGGAGGAGGAGGACGGAAGCCGCTTTGCCTCCAAAAGAAAAAATCAGGACAGAAATCCAAGAGATAAGTAAGTTCTCCTACTGCCAACAAGTCATCTCCATGATGATGGTGTTACCTTTATATCCCACCTTCCCTGCTCTTGCAAGGAGCCCAGGGTTCTCCTGCACTCCACGTGGCCTTAGTTTCTCCTGGCCAAGACCAGCACAAGGCCAAGCCGGATGGAGGCATCAACCTGACGCGACCCTTCGGAAGCAGTGTTGCTGCTCCTGGCACCGGCCCCCGCTAGCTCACTGGCTCTTCTCCAGGGCTATCTGGGGCCTTCCAGGGAAGGGGGAAGCATATTCCAAGCATCCCCCAGAGGAGCTATTCTTCAGTCATCAGTTAAACTTCCAAGGGGGAGCTGGATTGACGTGACTGACGCTCACGCAAACACCAAGCAGCACCCTGCAATTTCCCCCAGCGGAGCTGCTCAGGCTCGGCTTGAACCACCGAGGAGCCCCGTATGCTACCGGCGCATGTTGGGAACGCATCCCAACGTTCGTGCAGAGAAGGACCACATCTGCAGGCTGGGGAATGGCGAGGGTGGGGTGGGAGGGCACCACTGAGCCATGCCCAGGATACTTCCTAGAATCCTCTGCAAGGCCCGGGGTTTCTAGGGCAGACACTGTGGGAAAAGCCACCTCCAGGCACAGGCCTCGTCAAACGCCACCCCGGCTGGCACTCATGCCAGGGAGAACTGCGCTGGCTGCCGATGTGCTACCAGACGCGGTTCAAGGTTTTGATCCTAGCATGAAAAGCCCTCATCGATTCAGGACCAGGATCCCTGAGAGAGGCTTGGACGGGATGCCCCACTGGGGTTGTGCGGACCTGCAGCCT